ATTTTCAAACTCATGTAATTGGTGGTCTCTCTTACACATTGGTCACATGAGAAACCCGAATGTTTTGGCCTGAGAAATAAATGATGAACCAGACCAACAATCATCCTAAAAATATGGTCTAAAATGCGTTCTTGATGCAGATATATAGATAGTGGAGAAAAGAACTTTTTTTTTGATCAGCAAGAAAAAGGATTTACTATTATCAGAGAAAAACTTTTACTCCAAACTGCATTTGATATGGGCAAGGTTCAAAGTATCGACATATATCAGCTCATATTGGCCGATACATATTGTTCCGGGAACTCCCCAATATGCCCTTACAGAGAATGTACCATGGTTCTGACCGGTTCAAGGGGTGGAAGAACTTTAAACCGATCCCCCTGAACCGGTTTTAAAAAATAAACAAATAAAAATAATATCGATATCGCTAGATATGCCGAACCTTGGATATGGGTAAGATCCACTTTTAACTGGCCTTAACTTTATACTCAAGTTTCCAAATCGTCCTTGCTCTAAGCATTTAAATTGTTTGATTGTCACTTGGTGTCAATTCCAGCTTGGGTTAACCCCAAACCCAAACCTAAGAATTAGTCAAAATCTGTCATGGGCTGACATGTAGCCTTTAGAGAAAATGGATCATCCTAGCCTCCATGTCTATTTTTTAAAAAACTGCCCTTTTAGGTGCCTCAAATCCAATCCGATAATATCATATTAAAAAGTTGAAAGTTTTGTTTAACCCAAATTATTGACATCACTATTTCCATTCAAGGTTCAAAATATTGATATTGCCCAGATATGTTGAAAGAGGATGTAATTGATACTTTTTACTCTACAAATGGTTTAACTTTCTTCTTCTTCTTCTTCCACATCACTTATCTTTCTTGTTTAATCTATCTAAAAAGGCAAAATAGGGTTTTAAAAATTTTAAATGAATTATTTCATTGATGGAGGTATGTTTAAATCCAGTGGGATCAGACACGAGATATATTTAAGTCTATTTAAAAAAAAAACCTCAAAATACGTTTAAGTCTTTTTTGTTTTCTTTGGCATTTCTTCACGTACGTACATGGATTCCTCGTGCATCATAATTTTGAATAAGACACTGCTCTCATTCGACAATGGAATTGATACAGCGGTTGTGGAATGGAATTCACACCAGTTGCAGTAGTGGTGGACTGGAATGGACTTCAAAGTTCATACTCATTATCATTACCGGCCATGCATGAAAGCCGAAACTAGAGGGATAAAAAGCTGGCAAAAAGTAATACAACACAATTAATATTATTGTCTGTACGTACTGTGTAATGTGGTGAAATTTTGGGCTAATGAAATTGAACCACCAGCTCCTATTACTCTCAATCATTCCCTCCCTCTAGGTACTAATCTTAAATGATAACAAACAATGTCTCTAATTCCTTTCCTCTTTCTAAATTAGTACTGAGTTAATGCCTAAAACTACAATTAATGCACATTGAAGGCAATGATTTAAAATTAGTTGGACTAGACTAGATTGCACACTCACTCAGACCTGGTTTAGTAGTTGGGACCAAATCCCTTAAATGCATGTGAGTTCACTTTGAAGAAGCACAGGACCATCAACCAGCTGAAAACACGGCCATATAATTCATGTTACCATGTGAAATTGCTCTGCAAACTTTGTTTGCATTAGAGTAGATGCATGGGAGTGCAAATAGGCTGAGTGTAAATTCTGCTTTACTACTTTTGCTTCAGATTTGATTTTGTCTTGTTTATTTGTAAAGAGTGAAATAGGAAGTAAAATGAGACCCCTCTTCCAAGAGCCTTCCCCAGCGTGAGTTCTAGGCTTCTAGCAATGAGAATCGATAGTATTGCTTATTTATACAAATGTGAATAGGGTTTTCTCAAAAATAAAGAGAAATAAACCCTAAAAAAATGAGAAAGAATTTATTTCTCCCCGTCTCTCAGGTCAAACTCAGAAGCTGCCTCTTTGGCTTCCTCCAAAAATCTGGAACACCACCAAAGACAATTCTAGGCATCAGATTCATGGAATCAAAGAGGAAGTTCCTCTTCATCCCCAGAATCATCGAATCTCCCAAGATGGTCTCTATTCTATACCAACCCAATCCAATGGCCTCAATCTTCCCCTCCTGAGAAAAAAGAATGGCAACAAACTTTCTCTAGCTCAGTTTGGAAAGAGTACAAATATAAATATGTAGAGTGCACAACTTTATATTTTATATTAGGGTAAATTATAAAGACCCCTCTATACTATGGGGTCTGTGACAAAGACCCCCCTGTACATTGTTTTGCAACAAAGACCCCTTGTACTATGACCATGAGAGAAAGACCCCCTTTCATTAGCCTTCCATTGAAGTCCGCCATTGTAATATTTTTGAATCCCACACTATCCTTGTAATAACTATTCCGACAATTCAAAGAAAAATATTGTTCATCTTCCTCGACCTCACGATACATGAACAGCAACGGCGGCAGACTTCCATTGAAGTCATCCCTCTCTTTCTTCTTCCCCTTTCGCTCCTCCCCTTTCTTCTTTTCAATTTCCTTTGTTTTTCGTTCCTTGTAGATAAGAGAAATCGGACTGGGCACAGCAAAACAAGATTTCTGGGTGAACATCGACACCAGAAGCAGCTTGAGTTGGGTCTGATGCCAACCCTGTACTAACTGCTCCAAAATTACAGTTCATTTGATGATGCAGACAATAATGGGGGCCATGGCCTCCTGTAGTGCGAACAAGGTTTTAAAAAAGTAGAAGGAAAAGCCAAGAAGCCCCGGGGTTCATTTAGGCTTTATTTTAGCCTTAATGAGTAGTGGAGAAATGGCCACGTCTCTGTCATATGCATGTGAGAAGTATGTTTGAGAGAGAGAGACCCAAACATTCACAAATTTATAAAAGGTTTGTCTAGTTGGCTCATGACTGTGACTCCAAGCAACGAGCAATAGTTGGATTGTTGGAAAGATTCTCTTGCTCTTGTCTTCTCCTCACCACTCCGTGAGTCCCAACATAGCCAAATATAGCCATGCTAGCAAAAGAAACTGGATTCTTGTAATTAATATGCCATCATCGTTGTTTGGTATAGATTGAGCTTGATTGGAACAGTACTAGACGAATGAACATGGCTAGTGTAGGAGGATGGAGAAGAGAGGAGGAGAAGGCATTCAAAACTGCAATTGCGATGCACTGGGCTGCTGACGACTCAAAAGACCAATAGGAGAAGATTGCTTCCATGGTTCCAAGTAAGACTGTAGCTGAACTAAAGAAACACTACGAGGTTTTCGTGAAAGATGTAGATGCAATTGAGTCGAGTCGAATCCCGATTCCCACATACGTCAAGGAGGAGGGTTGCCAGCAGCAAAGATCAACACCTCTTTCCTGCTTCTGCTTCTAGGGCTGCTAATAAGAGGTTGAACTGTAATTTTGGAACTAGGTTTTTTGGGTTGGGCATTGATTCAGGTGGGGTTGGCATTGATTCTTGTTTTGGTGTGCACAATCTGATTTTGACAATGTAGTTGGATGTTCCGAGGAGGCTTGACTGATTGGAACTTTGGTCTTGGAGTCTCCTAGACCCAGAGGGGATTGTTTATTGATAGTCGATTGGATAAAGTGAACTTGGAGTTCTTCTTGGAGAAGATGGAGACTGAAACTTGCTTTGCCTAGTGGTGAGTAGGTTTCTATAATGATCCAAACCTGCATGAAGAAACCATGGAAAGCTCACTATATTATTAGTTTACTCTCTCTCTCTCTCTCCAGCTGCAAGGAACGGAAAAAGAGGAAATCGGAAAGAAGAAAGGGGAAGGGGAAGAAGAGAGATCAGGGGAGAGAGAGGAGAGAGAGAGAGGACTTTAACAGAAGTCTACCGCCGCTGTTGTTCATGTATGGTAAGGTTGGAGAAGATGAACAATATTTTTCTTCCAATTGTTCGAATAATTATTACAAGGGTAGTATGGGAATTAAAAAATATTGTAATGGCAGACTTCAACGGAAGGCTAATGGAAAGGGATCTTTGTCTCAAGGTCATTGTACAAGAGGGTCTTTATCGCAGAACAAAGTACAGGGGGGACTTTGTAATTTACCCTTTATATCATTTTGTATGTATTTACTCTGGACATATTTGCATTTGTACTCTTTCCAAACTAAGCCTTAGTAGCCATTGCAGGGGAAGACCTAGAGATTTTCGAGAGACAATAGCAACAGAACAGACTGGTCTCCCATAGGAACGGCAGGAACACCTCACAAACCACCATTAGTGCTGAAACCAGCGACCTTGGCTGCAATTACCACGACTCCCTCTCTGTCTTTTATCTAAAATCCTAGGACTCCAAAAGAGGCAAATACATGGAAACAAATTAAACTACCAGGTACCAGCGCCATTTATAAGGAGGCATCACCTTGGAATCTGCATCTTTAGATGAGATTGTAAATAGCAGAGATGAGTAATTTTAATGCTTAATTGCTTACTAGACGTGGATGGACGATGTGCATAAGTTTACATCATGAGGAACCATAAAAGGGAAACCATAAATGGAAAAAAGGACCCAATAGGGATCACATCAAGACGGCTGCTGAAATGTGGAGATAAGCCCACAAATTAGTTATGCAGTGCAGGTTCAAGATGCTCCCAGACCCCAGTAACGACTGAAGGAGACTAGGCGCTGCGGGAAGAGATTCCTTTTGGATGGTTGACGAATGCAAACAAATAGCTAGCTCCAAGTTTACCTCAGAGGATCAAAGGGAAATTTGAAGCTGACTGGCTGCCAAACAAAGAGCAATTACCCTTTTTCTTGAGTGACCTTCCATGGGACCCCCGATTCATCTCTTAGATTTGGGCCATTTAGCTGGGAGGGCTTCTCCGCGCTTCTAATTTTTCCTTTTTGTATCAAGGAAAAAAAAAAAAACTGTTGCCTGTGGATTTAGTGCATTATATTTTCGTGCCAAAGTTTAAGAAGAAAATGAATTTAAATAGCATTAAGTGGGTTGGGCAAAACTGTCCTCAAGGACAAAAAAACCTAAACCCAACCAGGTTAACTATTACCCTGCATAAACACTGAAATAATTAATAATGATTTACAAGGATTGACAGAAGCAATGGCCAGGACCCACCTGTCAACTTCCCAGTCTAATTTTTTCCATCACCTTTCTTTGTCTCTCCATTTTTAACTTTCACCAACGTTTGTATGTCCTATAAACCAATTACACAAAGAAGAACAAAATCGAATGGGTGAAAGAAAACAAAAGAAAGGAGAAATAAACAATTCTCTTGTGTAGCATATAACCATCTACAGCCGTAGAATAGTTCTAAGGGTATCACAAAGGTTCTGAATGGTCTTTTGCTCTTGTGCTGCTTGGTACTCCTGGAGGGGCATCTCTTCATAACACCTGGAACATATGAAACATGAAAAAGTTAAAAACAGAAATTACACCCAAGTAGCATGTGTAAATGCAACACTTTTAAGGAAGTAAAAAATCTGCAAGTTGATAACATGAATGGTGGATCTAACAAGCAATTCGAAAATGACAGATATAGATACTTTTCTGTAAGCATGTAATGGTAAATTTCTTTCCTTGTTTGGTCTGGAAGAGTATGGGCATCATGGGAGCCCAAATAGTCATGGAGCTTACTTTGAATGGTCCTAGCTTATTTGGGGCTAAAAGAGTTTCTAGCTCTGTAAGTTTGACAAAGGGAAATCAAAATTTTATACATTTTGTGGTGAGCTAAAGCCTGCGCCAGATTCAGTAGTGTGGAACTTGAAGTTAACCTGTGATACACGCTTGGAGGAAGGGGCATCTGCACACATCATATAGCCAAATAGATGAAACCAATACCTATCATATATAACTTCAAGAAATACAACAAAGACAGAGATGGCAACAGACCTCATTTTGTCCCCTTCGGCCTTTTTTAGACTGTCCATCACCGCTAAAAAGTTCCTGAACTGCTTCTACAGCAATGGTACCACTGTTATCCTGTTGTAGACCCCCAAGCACATTATCTGACACCAGAGCAATGGGAGATATGTCTGTTGCCTTCAAGAAGGGTATAGGTACTGTATTCCCAGCTGCATAGATGGACCAAAGCTACAACAACAAGAATCTCAATTAAGTAAGAACCTGATATTTACTTTCAAAGTTTCAATAAAGAAGGCATTGATTTTGAAGATCCACTTTAAGGAAAGAAACCTAGGAGTAGCTCCAATAGGTGATAAAATGAGAGTAAGTAGACTGAGGTGCTTCGGTCACATGCATAGAAGGCCATCTACAGTACCCATTAGAAGAAATGATCTGTTACAAGTTGAAGGGGTTAGAAAAGCTAGGGGCAGGCCGAAAAGAACTCAGGTGGATGTAATAAGAAATGATTTAAGCACCCATAATTTGTCGATGGGTATGGCACTGAACAGAACAGAATGGCGAAGCAGGATTCCTGTAGTCGGCCCCATATAGTTGGGACTAGGCTTAGATGATGATGATGATTTCCAAGGAAAGAAAAAAAAAAAGAAGATAGGAAGCAAAACTGAAGCTACTGGTGAGATAAAAGCAAAGCATCATTTTATGAGGCTTTCCTTTTTCCCCTTTCTTTAGCAAGAACAAGCTAGCCATACTATTATATCATGGAAATGTAAGTTAAAAATAGGAAAGAGTTTCCTTTTTTATTGTGTGTGTGTGTGGGGGGGGGGGATGGTTTGCAACTTGATTGTGTGGCATTACATGTATTCTATTGCATTTGCAACTTGCATGAAATAAATTTACCTTATTACTGATGGTTGAACTTTTCATTGTGCCAGTGCTCATACCCTTCAATGTGCTACTGCCACCTCCAACCTGTAAATTAGAATGGCTTTCCATCTTCAGATTATGTTCAGGAGATTCCAGGGTAGTAGGTAGTCCATGCACTGTCTGTGGCTCAGGGTTTTGTTCTGCATCTTGAACATTGTTGGCAACGGAGTAGTTCATATTATCCAGCCTGACACAATATTCTAATGAGCTGCTTTACCATTAATGAAAATAAACAGAGAAATGCTTGCAGCACAGAAAGCACATGATGGAACTTGAAAAAAAGAGTGTTATGTGAACAGCTGAAAAAACAAAAGATTCAAATACAGAAAATCTAAATGAAACAGAAATACAAAACCTATTTAGAGGACATATCACTATAGTATTCTTTTTTCTTTTGGAAATTTTTTACTTGTTTGTTTGTGCTTTTTATGCTTCTACAATTAAGTTGTTCTCTCATCCACCAATTGCTGCATTATTTATATAAAAGAAAAACCTAGTAGGAAAATACATTACAAATCCCCAGATGCTAACTTATGGGCCATCCAGGTGTAACATCTTGAACCCTATTAGATTCATAAACCTACAGTTACCACAGGATAAAGGCATAAGCCTTGTGCATGATCTGATTGGACTTAGTGGTGTATCATTGTTCCAAAGACTTTCATAAAGCCAATTTAAAGAAACACATCAGGATTTGTTTGGGAAACACTAGGAAACAATGGAAGAAATAAGATACACATGAATATGCTAGGGAACTCGATAAATCTCGAAAGTACATAATCAACACCAGTTCCAAGGCTGAAATGGTTGGAAATAAGGTATAAGAACATAATAAACATGTTTTAATAGTTTGTGTGAAATAATACAATGGATGCTACTGAGTTTGTTAGTTAATCTTTTTATTTACTTACCAAAAACACTAAATAATACATAAACTATGCATTTAAAAATTAAATAGTACATTATAATTTCAACATGAATTCTTTATAAGTTTATATAGATTCTAAAAGCAAGAGATGTTAGTTTCAAAAATATACATGTGAACCAACTACAAATTAAAACGAATAAAATTTAAATGATATATTATACACCTTGAACCATGAAATAGTTATAGATTAATATGTATAAGTATTATATGGTACTTACATGAACGATGATGAATTCATTGGCTATAGATGGCAAATGAAAAAAGATAAATAACAAAAAAAAATTAAAGATAAAAGTACAGGTTCTAAATGACTATTCTACATTTTATTCATCTTTTGCACTTCAATTGCTGAGAATTAAAGAATCCATTAATAGATCTTTGGATAAGATAAATCTTCCAAAGATCCAATCATCCAAATAGTTCATTGTTAGCACCAAACACTTCGAATCATGAGAAATCAAATGTGAAATATTATGCAACTTTCAGTTTTCCCCCAAAAGTTGGGGAATCATACTCATGGAAGCTTTCCTTACCATTCTTAACCCTGTTCTGTGATGGTTGAATCATATGTCCACATGTATCTATCCATTTGTTTACTTATATAAATATATGACTATGAATTATCTTACTAGAAGCCTGGGTCTTCTTTGGAACCAATCCAACTTCCTTAGCTTCACCTCTTTCCTCAAACCTCCTCCTGCGACCTAGATCAATACCTAGCTTACTGACCACAACCTCCTCAAAGCTAACTGGAGAAACAGATGAAGGTTTGACCACAGAGATAAGCCTGTCCCTCTCTTCTCCAATGACACCACCCTCATCAGCAACAACAGATCCAACTTCCTTATATTCATAGGTGGCTAATGCTCAACAAAAAATCAAGAATATTGGAGAAGGGATAGAAGCAGATTTGGGGATAACAGGTACAATTTCAGAAGAAAAAATGGAGAAGGATAAGATATCGAGAAAATTGTTAACAAAAATATTGAATTTGGAAAAAGACTCAGTTTATTCATTTTGGGAGGAGAGGCATTTGCTAGAAGAGCCATTAAAGAGTTCGAGGGGAGGGAGGAGAGCTTGAAGAAAGCTACTGTGGGGGAAGGAGGAGAGGCCTGGAATTAAGCTGACGAAGGGAGTGTTGATGTTCTTGAGGAGGAGGTTTAGTGAAAGCTAGCGCGTGTCTACCCTTTTTTTCGTCTTGTTTGTTTTGTTTGGCGTGGTGGAGTCCACGTGGAGGGGGGATGTTGGGTGGTGGGTTTTGAGGGAAGTCTTTGTAGTTTGTTTTTGTTGTGAGTTCTGTTGTTGTCATGGCTGCCTCTTCCTTGTGGGTGACTACTTGTCACCTCTCTATTGTAAGTTTTTTTTCTTCTTCAATAAATTTTCGTTTATTATCAAAAAAAGGACTATGAATTAGTAGTAGTTAATTCTTATTTCCCCTTTTCCTGAACTTCTCTGATTATCTATGCCGTGTCATGAGAAAAGGAAACAAACAACCCAGCTTGTTATAAGTTATCTAGCTTGAATGCAAACCTGCCATAGATAATGCCTTTCAAATGAAAGGAAATAATACAAATTCCACAAGAAAAATCAATTTAAGGGCTCATATTGTGCTTGACTTACGTCAAGGCAACAAAGAGCACAAAAACTGAAACATATATCGTAATCTCAAGTATTAGGAGATGTTTCTTTTTCTTCTTTTCTTGCCTTTTCTGGGAGAGGGTGAAACTGGGGGTTGGGGAATGGGCTAAGATTATCTCAATAAATATGTATGCTAAATGGTGGCAGTACATGATAAAGAAAGCATCAATCAGTTATGAGCACCTACTAGTGTTTTGTTTTGGATTAGTGAATTTACATTAACTAATAACCACAATTAATCAGAAATGAAGCATTGGATAATGTACCAGAGGTTAGATGATTTCTCTTCTGGTGCATGAGGAGAACTTTCAATGTTTTTAAGAACAGTAGTGGTTTCTTTTACATAGGAAACTGATGTTTCTGGATCTGGCTTATCTACCTCAACTCCACCATGAACTATAACTGTCCCAAAATCACCTGTTTCATATAAATTTCATTAACATATTAAAAGACTGCTCTCATATCTTAGGAAGACTACTACTCTATTCAGAACAGAAGTATTTTCACGAATAAACAACAAATAAATAAATCAATATTTAACTTTATGAAAATACCATTTTAGTTGTAATATGAAGTCACAATTATAAATTCTTTAACAAGAGTTTTCTTGTTATATCTTCTGCAAACTATAAGGCCTCAAGTTTTCATCACTAGTTCAGTTTTTTATTCTTTTCCCCTTTTTTGCCTCCATTCCACCTTCTAAGTCTTGAAATAGCATCAATTCACTAGTTTATGCACATGACCAAACATCTTCGTTGACCTTCCGTCATATTTCACCTATTTAGTCTATGTGTAATCATTTCTAATTATATACTTCCCCTGCCACTCAACCACATAAAAATCCTTATTTTAGTCATGTTCATTGAGTGGATGTATTAAGGACCATTACTTGGTGTAATGGTAAAATATTGGGCTGGCTAGTGTGAGAGTGTGGTTCAAGTTTGAGGTCAGACCTTTGTGAGAAAAAAGCCAAAAGAGCCAAAAGTTAAGACTATACCCAATCCACTCCTCTCAAGATCCCAGATAGCTGGGACCAACATTGGGTAATGGCCTTTTTATTCAGTGGTTGTGTTGCTTCTTGATTGCCCAGCATGCTGTTCCAAATAATATAATTGATCATATAATTGCGCAACATGCTGTTCCAAAAAGAAAGCCCAAGCCTAAGAACTATGGATCTCAAAGCCCATATTTGAAGGTTCACACTCAAGACACCCCTGACAGCCCATGAACTTGGGCCTATTCTAGTATATTTGGCCAGCTCAAGTGGGGCCTATAGGAGATTCCATCAATCAAATATTTGATTTGATAATCAAATCAACTAAGGATTTGATAGGGATTGAGAATTTCCTTTTATATTTATTTAGATTTGAATTTTTTATTTGTTAGAAATATGGTTCCCTGTTTAATTTTCTTTGGTAGAAGGTTCCCTGTTTAGTTGCATCTAATAGGAAGGTAATTAACTTGTAGATCTCAAAGAGATTTGAAGTTTATCTTATACAATGAAAAAAGAAAACCCAAGAACGCCATCATTAAAAACATATTGATTGAAAGTGGTGCTGGATTAAGACTTCAGAGATATTTCCAACATTCTCTAAAGATGTTATAATTAGAGGATTGCAGTATGCTGCTACTTCTCACTTCTAGAATCAACATCTCAAGGGAATGGATTCCTCCTGCTATGAATCAAACCAAACTCAATTTTGATGGGTGTAGTATTGGAAATCCAGATCTTTCTGGCAAAGGGGGAGTTTTTAGAGATAATTCAGGTTCAACCATTGCACTCTATTTGGGAACAATAGGTGAGGTTGAGTCCACAAGGATGGAACTGCACCTGTCCTTCAAGGATTAACGATAGGCAAGAGGCTGAATTTGCAACATATAGTGGTGGAAGAGGATTCTGAAGCAGTGGTGGGATGGCTAAACTAAAGAATATCAGCCAAGGAACATGGAAATATTGACATACATTGGGAAGCTAAGCAACTTACTAGGAAGATAGTAGTGACATGGCTATGGACTCAGAGATGCAAATGGAAGAGCTGTTTCACTACCAAGGCAAAGGGTTAATAGGGAACAATTGGGCTGGAGCTGGGGGGTAATGAAGCCATATGAAGGAACCATGATGTGGAAGAAGTCATGAGATGGTGGGATGGTTCAAGAACTTTGTTGATGAAGAAAGAAGCTAGTCTGCTTTCCTGAAGGAAGAAAGTGTAGGGTGTGGTTCAATGTCTAAATCACTAAAGGGCTTTGGTGAGTTTTTGGATAGAACTTAGAAAAATGTCAAGCATAATGAGAAAGTGAGGAAAAGTCATTTTCAAAGGAGGAAGTTGCAGAAGCATTCTTTACTATGGCAAACGGCTTGGAAAGTGCAAGTTGGATGTTCAGGGAAGAAGGAAAGATTGGGAACAGATGCTGGTGGCTTTAGTGAAGGAAGTACATGATTGGAAAAAGATACCAAAAGTGATAAGTTGGGGATTGAAGCTCAAGGGGTCAATGATATTCACACCTTTTGAAGTTGAAAAACAGTCCACTTGATGTCTGAAACTGTTTGAGATTAGATGCAAACCAGAAAATAAACAAACAAGAGAGGAAGAGAAGAGAGAGCTGGCGGCAATGAGTGTTAGAGAGTAAGAGKTTCGAACATWACYTCYCTCTAACACTCTAAACATCTTATTAAGAAGTTAATCTTTGACAAATTACAGAGAGGCCCTTGAGTGGGCAGGAAAATACAAAAAACATAACATTACAGAGTATGAGCCCATAACAGATTTTTTGTATTTTCCTGCCCACTCAAGGGCCTCTCTTTAATTTGTCAAAGATTAACTTCTTAATAAGATGTTTAGAGTGTTAAGAGAGTGGTTATGTTCGAACCTCTTACTCTCTAACACTCATTGCCGCCAACTCTCTCTTCTCTTTCTCTCTTGTTTGTTTATTTTCTGGTTTGCATCTAATCTCAAACAGTTCTAGACATCAAGTGGACTGTTTTTCAACTTGGTATCAGAGCGGGCCATTGCTTGGCGTGTCCCTCATGTGGTTCTAGTTCAGCCAACTGCATGAGGAGGCTCTAGGGCTGAAAGTTTATAGTCATCCGCCTGGTTCTTGGAGGTCATTGGAGGGTGCCCAAGTTTCTACACACTTGGAGAAGGGTTCGGTGACCAGGAAGAATCAGAGAGCAAGGTGTTCGGCCTGATTTGAAATCAGAGAAAAGGATTTCGAAGTTATCTCAGAGAACAAGTGTTCGGCCTGGTTTGAAGTTCAAACCAGAGATTCTTACTGTAAGCTTTTTCTCAGTCCTTTGCTGGGTTATTTTTGTTGTTTGGGAGGACTGTTAAAGCACTCAAAGCCCACCTCCATTCGGCCCACTGTTGCTGGACTGATTCTACTCAGAAATTTCTGGGTTATTTTGGAAGTGCTATTTGGCTGATTATTGGACTGCCAAGCTGCTGAAACTAATCTAAACTAAGTGGTACTAGTCTCATCTTCATCCTAGCCTCTTCTTGGACCTATACTGAACACTTTGAAGTGGTTTCTTCTAGTTAACAGTAGGTTGTTAACTACTGCACACTGAATGTTCGACAAAATGTCTCTCAAGGATTGTGGCCTCTTTTTCTTCCCTTTGGGACAACGGTTGTTGGGAACCTGAAATACCTAGTGATTGGAGGTTTGTTGGGTGTCTTTTGAAGGCTGAAACAGTATAGAAAGAGCTACCACCGAGCTGGACTGTCACAGTTATCAAGATTGAACTGATTCTGTGAGCTAGTTGTTGTTGCCTATTCAGCTCAAACTAAGCTCATCAAGACCCCCAGTACT